GCAGGGATCTCTTGAGAATAAAAGTTAAATGCTGGCTATTCTGACAGGGATCTATTGAGAATAAAAGTTAAATGCTGGCTATTCTGACAGGGATCAGTTTAGAATAAAAGTTAAATGCTGGCTATTGTCACCAAAATATTGGAGATGTTGGAAAAATAAGCATTAAAATGTTTGCTTTACACAGGCAAGTTTCTGGATGCTCAGTAGTAAATCTGTGGAATAGTGTGGAAATCATGATAATAATGTCCTTTTTGGTTAAGAAATAGCCCGTTCTGCTCTTCATAATGAATATTCTTCAGTATTTACCCCTGCATGGGCACCCTGCTCCCGTGGTGTGTTTGTCTGTGGAGGGCAAGGGAAGTTCAGCAGCACCAAAACTCACCTGAGAGGTGTGAAATTCAGGGCTGTAACGTGTCCAAGGCCGTAGGTGAGGATCAAAGCAATTCCTATCTGGGAAAATATGCCCACCCAGATGACTTTGTTCCTGCAGGGAAGAGCAAAGAGGAGTTACAGCTCCTTATCCGTGGGGGCACAGCTGGAATGAGCTGCCCCAGGTGGGCACTGGGGACACAGGGTGGGCTCTGCTCTCCCTGGCAGCATTCCCAGCTGGCAGCAAGCTTTGGGATGCACACACAGTGTGCACTGGGAGTGTGCCCAGCGTGACTCAGGTGTTAATGGGAGCAGGAAGTGCACACAGGTGTGGGCTCTGGCCCTGCAGATAAAGGATGGAGAACAAATCGCCCTCCTATCGGGAATGCCCGGGGTGAATGCCTGCTGTGCTCTGTGGCCTCTGTCCCAGTAGATATTTTGAATTCCCTGGCTCCTGTGGGATTGAAGGGTGCAGAGGGTGGCCAGCTGGTATTTCCCCTTCTGGAGTTATCTCAGAGAGCTCCAAACGTGCTATCTGTTGATAACTACATAAAGAAGTTGAGAAAATAATCTGGAAAGGAAACTCCCCCCCTTTTTTTTTAATAGTGAGCATTTTAATGAATGGAGAGTTAGTTAAAAGCTGATGCATTTTCAGGATAATGAGTACAATGCCTTGGTTTAAAAGAAAACCCCTCTCCTGAAGCAGGAAAGGGGCGGGAGGGGAGGTGGAGTAAAATGTTTGTCTGAGATTTGTGGTTGCTTGAGGCCAGACTTGGTCTTTGTGCAAAGGCTGAACGTGAGTGGGTCAAATCACTGAGCTGACCTGCTTCTGAAATGAGCTGGAGGATAACTTGAAGCATGGGTTTAGATTAGATATTAGGAAAGAATTCCTTCCTGTGAGGGTGGGGAGGCCCTGGCACAGGTTGCCCAGAGAAGCTGTGGCTGCCCCATCCCTGGAAGTGTCCAAGGCCAGGCTGGATGTTGGAGCAGCCTGGTCTGGTGGAAGGTGGCAAAGGGGTGGAACTGGATGATCTTTAAGGTCCCTTCCAACCCAACCCATTCTGGGATCCCACGTGTCAAATCTGCAAAACCCACCTAAAAAGGCCCTGCCGGAAAATGGAATTTCTCCGTGTTTTCCTGATGATCAGGTCAGCGACTTGTTGAATGGTGATGCTCACAAAGAAGGCCGTGTAGCCCGTCCACTGCAGATAGGTCCTCTGGTATTTGGTCTGCAAAGAGAAGGAAAAATCAGGGAGTGTTCTATCAGACACTCACATCTCGTGCAGGAGGCTGCAAAACTCGAGAGTAGGGTTTATTTCGGCTCCCAAGGTGGAAATGCAGAGTTATTCCAGATTTAGATCCACAGGGATCAGATTTGGGCCAGTTTTAGTCCAACAGGTGCTGTGCCTGAGTCATGAGGCTGCAGCACGAGCTGGGGGTGAGGAGGTGTTTTATTCATTTATTAGTGCCTTCTGCCTTGTGATTTCTGCAGGATGAGTGAGGGGGAGTGAGGAGGGAAAGGGGGAGGCAGAGACTGCAAAGTACTTGGCAGGGGTGCTGTTCAGGAGCAGGGCTGAGAGATGATGCTTGTGATTGATTTGGGTGGGCTTAAACACACAGTCCAGAGAAGAAGGTGCATCTCCAGAGGCTCTGAATGAGAAAGTGGGCAAACTGCAGAAGAATGAATGGAAGAATGGAGGCTGAATGAAAGCTGGGTGCCAGGAAGCTCTGAAGAGTGTATCCTGAAGGAACATTGCGTGGCAACTAATTATAATTGCATTTAAATCTCATTTTCCTTTCTTTATTTTTGAGAAGAGTATAGAATTTTTGAGGAGAGTATAGAATTTTTGAGGAGAGGCAGTGCAAGGAATTTTCAGTGCTTTCTTACCCACTGCTGTCCATAGGAATCCTCAAAGTCATTGATGACATTGCTTTCCCAGTTGACCCTCACGCCCAGCAAGGTGGAAGGGAGGAAGCCTTGCTCAGCATAGACGGTGAAATAGGTCACAAAGGCTCCCACTGACTGCATGATACCTGCAAAATCAAAGGGTTGCAATGAGGAAGAACCAGATTAAGGGGCACTGGGGAACATGCCATGAGCCTACAGGTAGTTTTAGAGCTCTTGGTGCTCCGAGTTTCTTGCTCCCTGTAGATAAAAACCCTGTTGTGGTGTTGAATAATAGAAGGGAGTTGGTAAATTTGCAGAGGAGGGAGTCGAGTTTCAGCTCTCTGTTTTTTTTAAAAAATGGATCAGCTTGACTCTGTCTTGCTTTGCTGATGCCAGGCAGTGCTTGGGAGGCCAACCTACCGATCTGCAGGTAGGAGTACACAGCCAGCTGCTCGTTCACCAGCCGGTCTTTCCTCTTGTTCCGAGGTCTCCTGTTCATGATGTCGCTCTCAGCTTTCTCGTAGGCCAGTGCCACGGAGGGGATCTGCGGCAGAAACAACCCATCAGAGCCCTGGGGGCAGCACTGGCCCGTTTCTCGGGTGTTTGTCAGCCAAGTTTCAGTTCTCAGGTGGTTCTGTTCACGTGTGCTGCCTTGTCAGGATCCAAAGGGGACAGAAGGATCCCTGGGGTGTTCCCTAGACATGTTTCAATGGTTTGAGGGGAGTCTGAGACTGTTTCCTAGGTCTGGTGATCCCATGACAACAGAAAGAGCTGGAGGATATGAAAAAAGAACATTAAAGGGCCTTTCAGATGCCTTGGCTCTGGTGAAATATCTGGTGTTCATCCCCTGCAGTAACTGCAGTGATTTCTGGGATCTCTTGATTGAAACACCGGTATTTGCTCATTTCTGATTGTTCTTGTCAGCACAGGTTTTGCTTCCTGCTCCCCCTCTGCAGGTAGTTGTTGTTTTCTACTCTTCTTTCTCTACCCCTGGTTGCTTTGAACTTCCTCTTTCACTACCTTGTTACTGGGCTGCAGGGTAAGGCAGGGAAACCTTCCTTTGTTCTGCATTCCCTTTGCACCCAGCCCCTCTAGCTTGATATCCCAGCAGAAAATGACTTCAAACATGACTTCAAACATGACTTACAATGTCTGTGCCCAGGTCGATGAACAGGATGGTGATGGTGCCAATGGGCATCGGAATGCTGGCAATGATGTAGATGAGAAAGGGGCAGAGCTCAGCAATGTTCTTGGTCAGGGTGTAGGCAATGGTTTTCTTCAGGTTGTCAAAGATCAGGCGGCCTGGGGGAGGAGGAAACTCTTGTGTAAAAGTGAATTCTTAAGTGTTTTCCAGGAAAAAAGTTCCATTTTTAGCTAAACGAAGTGAAAACATTTACTGCTTATGTCGACTTTCCTCATATGATTCCTCATGCATTTTACAGGTTATTTTTGTTGTGTTTTTTTTTTTAACTGCTAACCCACCTTCCCTTAGAGCCTCCTGAAAATTCAAGTGTAATAAAAACCCTCTTTCAGTGAGAAAGTTTGAGGGGAAAGTCCCATTCCACACCATGCTGTGGTTTTAATGGAAACCCCAGAATCTTGATGGTGAGAGTGGAGCAAATAACAGACTGAAAATGTAGAGGAAACAATTTGTATTCTAATGGGAACAAGCTGGGAAGTGCCTTTGTCGGGAGCTTGATCAAACAGCAGTAGCAAATCAATGCTGTGTGAGAGAGGGGATGACTTTCATGTGTATGAGTGGAATTAATTCCCAATTTCCCCAAATATCAAAATCACACCTCCAAATCCAGAAAGAAAAAAAAGAGGAGGTGAGTGCAGGGGGGAAGGATCAGGAGGGCTGGCCAGTGCTGTGTGACAGCAGCTCTCAGCTCAGAAAGTGGGCAGCAGCATTATTTTTACCTTCCTCCACTCCTGTGACGATAGAAGCAAAGTTATCATCCAGCAGAACCATATCAGCTGCATTTTTAGCTGCATCAGAGCCAGCAATGCCCATGGCAATTCCAATATCTGCTTTTTTAAGAGCGGGGGAGTCGTTGACTCCATCTCCAGTCACGGCAACAACTGCTCCCTGGAACACACAAAAGGATCCAGATGTGGGTTGGGGAGGAGAGGGGGGTTGTTTGCCCCTAAGGACAGGCTGCTCTCATTACATCTCTAGAAAAAAACACTCTTTACATCTCTAGAAAAAAGATGCTGATGGGAAGCTCTGAATCCTCTTTGTACCCCCAGAAAACAGCCAGGGATCAGAGGGGATGGTAGGAAGGGTTTGGACAGCAACCTCAGACTTTGGTGTGATAATGTCTGTCTCTGAGTTGGTCATTTCGGTTCCTACTCTAGTAGAAATATGGAAAATTCAGGGATGTGATTTCCTACATCCTACAGAGTAGACACCTCAGTTAGATCCACTTCAAATGCAATTAATCTGATAGCTTCTTTCTGTGGAGTATAAGCTGAAAGATTTAGATATCCACCTATACGTATATATATATGGTCTATCCCTGTCTGAGCAGACCCAGGTTCACCTCTGTCATCTGTGGGAGATGTGGTTGACACAACATGCTCTGTCCTGTTTTTTGGGGTTATTTTGTGAGGTGCCAACAGAATCAGACAGGTTTCATCCTAATTGTAAATTATGTAACTGCTGAGTGAGAGCCCATTCCCATCCTATCCCAACACCTTCTGGCCATCACCAGCCTGGGCTGGAATTGCTCCAGTAATCCAAAAGATGGAAAACTCTGCTTATCCAGCTCAGCTTCTTTGTTATCTTCCCATGGAACTATCCTGCAGCTAAAGGTCCTGCTCTAGCTGATGCAGGAGTTTGTGGTTTGATGCAATACAGGGTGTTCCAAGTGAGAAGAAGCCTGACAAAGTGATTAATAGAAATGCTGAGTGTCCTGTCCCTGGGGGGATTTAGCTCAGTGTCACTACCTATAAATAATGCCATGTACAGAAGGGCTTATAAGCTCTAAGCACTAAACATAGAGTGGAGACTGAGTTTTGAGGGGGGAGGGTGTTCCTTTCCATCCTTTAAAGAGCCAAATCTCCCAGGAGTGTGGGTGTCTGAGCAGTGCAGAGCACATTTACCCACCACGTGCCAAACAGAGACCATTCAAAAAATAAGATCTTTCCATTTCATCTCTTTTTTATCTTTTTTTTCCCCCCACTCTCCTGAAAGCAGCCCAGGCTTAAACCCAACGAGCTGATAATGCTGATTGGAAAGCTTAGTGCTGGCATAACTACAGAACTAAAATAGTGTCTTGTGCCATGTCTTCTCTACAAAGCCCAGGCACAGCACTGTGAATCAGCTTTGATTCACAGCATCTACCTGGAAGATGTCATTTCTGAAGGGAGGATCTTTTGGTGGCAATTTGCATCTTGTACAGAGCTCTGTAGGTGTCATTTCTCTGCCTCCTGTGCTGGCTGCACTCCACACTCCTTTGCATAATATTGTGGATGGGACAAACTGTCTTTAAATCCTGCTTTCTGTGGGTTGATTTACAGCCTTTGAAAGCACCAGACATAAGGCTTGGTCGTGAATAAATCACTCTGTGACAATTTGTGGGGTTCATACCTTTAGAATCATAAATCCTTTAGAGCTTTAAGTTCCACGAGTCCAACCTGTTAACCCAGCACTGCCAAGCCCACCCCTAACCCACCTCACTCCTGAACATTCCTGTGGGCAGCAGCACAAGAGATAAGACGAGAGGATGTGGCAGGGTGCTGCTTTTATCTGGGCTGAAAGGATTCCCGAGGGAAGGCAGCTTCCCAAGCAGTGCAGTCTCTGCCCAGGAGGCTTTATGTGCAGCACAGCTGCTTCTCAGAGTTAGAATCCAAAATCCAGACCCTGGCTACAGCTCCAAGCCAGCGAAGCCCAGGGAAAGCTCATTTTGTCGGCAGGAGTTCAGAGTGTGTAGCAGGGATCTGAGTGGCTTGGATTCTGTCCAGGCAGTGTTGGTGGCAATCTGTTCGATAATGTTCCTGCTCAGTGCAAAGAGTATAAACAGAGCTCAGGGAGCGCTGGGAATTGCCTTCCACCCTCTCACCACGCGGCTGATACCCGGGGAAAGCTCCTGAAGGGCATGGAACCTTCCCCACCTCTTACTCACCTGCCTCTGGCAGCCCTCGACTATAATCAGCTTCTGCTGGGGCGATGTCCGAGCAAAGACTATCTCGGAGTGGTTGCACAGGACCTCATCCAGCTGCTCCGAGTTCATGTCCTTCAGCTCCATCCCATTAACCACGGCTGCTGTAGCTTCCCTGCAAGAGCCGGGGGAGAGCTGGGTGAATTTTCGAATTAAAAGGCTCAGATAAAAATAGTGCGCTCGTGGAAAGCACGTAAATGCAGCCGGATAGTGGGGAAGCGGCAAATTGAGGTAATTTCGGAAGCAGTTTGTTGTTAATCAGCAGGTGTTGAATGAAAGGCGCCGCAGAAATGCGGAGTGAATTACAGTTACCTGGATACGGAGGGGAGTCATTGAAGCTTCCTCCCGAGCAGCAGAAAATGCATTTTAAAGAGGCCTCTCAGTGGGAGGGAGGGACAGCAGAAGGAGAAGACATCCCTTCTATAAAGAGCTTTTATCCTTCCCTTGTGATGCTATTTTTTTTTCCACATTTGCTGGGTGAAAGAGGAATTTGGACTGATGGTCCTTGGGTAGCTGTGATTCTGAATTTTGCTTTATGTGTTTATGTGTGTTTTGTCAAAAGGGCTGTGACAGTGAATCAAACAGTGATCTGTAAAGGATAATTTGCTGGGTTTTCTTTGAGAAAAAAGATGAGAGCCAGCGAGCTGTTTAGGTAGGGATGGTACATGGGATGGAACTGGGCTGTAAAAGCTCCGTGGAGGGAGCAGGAAAACGAGCCCACAGGTATTCCCTGCGCTCTGTTTGCTCTTACCTCCTGTTGACTTGCTCCACGGGAATGTTGAGGCGCTTGGCAATGTCCTCCACGGTCTCACTGGTTGCTGAAATGATGCCCACGCTCTTGGCAATGGCCTTGGCCGTGATGGGGTGGTCGCCAGTGACCATGATAACCTGGGCAAGGGACAGGCACTGGGGTGAGTGACAAACGGGTATGCCCTGGCTGGGGCGAGATAAGGTGGAATATCTATTGTTGCAAGCCCGGGAAGCAGTTTAGGGTGGGAAAGCTGTGCTATGTGAATAACAAAGGGAGACTATGAGCAGTAATTACTGAGCTCCACGTCGACACCAGGACTCTGACTCTCCTTATTGAGGCTGTTTTATCAGGGCTGTAAAGGAAGAACTTGTCACAGGCAGCAAGGTGAGAATAATGCAGAATTAAGAAGCCTTTATATAAGGATCTATATTGGGTATGTTCAATGGTGAGAGCTCCTTGGAATATTGCATCTTAAAATGGATCCTTGTGACTGAGGTGTCCTGACAGATAAGACACAGCCTTTTCTTTTTCTTTCCTCGAAGAAAAGCTGCCAGATCTGTCTTCAGACTATAGAAAATTTCATCAGGCTTGGGATTCATCTCATCTGAGATCTGCAATTCCAAAGATGGTTTTCCTTTACTTAGACAGATCTCACCTCTGCTTGGAGCTGAAAGTTTACCTGTGGATCCCCTAGGAGTGAAATGAGGGGAATTATTGTTTCACATTCAACCCGAACAGTTTTAAGATTTGTGATTCCTGTGGATAAAAGTTCTGGGCAAGTGTAGCCCTGGTGTCCTGATGCCTTCTCAAGAGTTGCTTCTGTCACTTTACTCTGTTTACAAGTAATTGTAGCTGGCATGGCTTCTGTATTCTAGCAATAGGTCTGATGAGGCCCTATCTGAGCTTTTGGCAAGTTTGGATTCCCAGTTCTGGGGTTCTGTGCAGTTCCTGCAGCCAAATTCCCACTTAAATTAAACTGTTTTGCCTCTGGTGGTTTCTTTAAGTTACAGTTCTAGGGTGTTATTAATGAAAGTTTAGATTTTTGGGGGCTGCTACTTGAAAGATACTTCATGACAACGTGGTGGAAGTTCTTAAAAGCTCTATTATCCTGAGTATTTCTGTAGGATCACCGTGGTTTTCCCTGTAAAACCCCTACCTTGATCCCGGCACTGCGGCATTTGGAGACGGCGTCTGGCACCGTGGAACGGGGTGGGTCAATCATGGATAAGAGCCCAACAAAGCACAGGTTGGAGGTTGGGAAGTTCATGGAATCGGTGTCGAACTGGTAGGTGTCTGGAAACTCCTTTTCAGGCAGGTACAAGTGGCAGAAACCTGAAAAGAAACTCGGGTTGGTGCGATGCACAGCGGGAGAAAGAGGAGAGTTTTGCTGTGTGACACCGGGGTTTGCTCTTGCCCGCAGAACTCCAGTGCACTCAACCACTTTTCCAGACATGCTGGATGTGCCAAGACTTTAAATCCCATTTTCCTGCAGTTCTCAGGCAGCCCCTCCAGCTGGACTCACCCAGCACTCTCTCTCCCATGCCCCCCAGCTCCATGTAGGCTGTCTGGAAAGCTTCTGCCTTCTCGCTGTCCAGTGGTTCCTCCTTGCCGTTGATCATGATGGTGCTGCACCTCTCCAAAATCCTCTCTGGGGCCCCTTTCATCACCAGCAGGAAGCGTTTGTCACTGGGGTCGTCGGTCTCGTGGATGGAGAGCTGTGTGCCAGAAATGGGAAACGGGTTGGAAGAGCAGAAATGGTCCTTTTTTGCTCCTAGTTTTCCATGGAAGTAATATTCTCTTCCACAAGAATATCATACATTCCATCAAATGTATTATGCTTGCTATTATAACTTGCTATTTACTGCATTAAGACTTCCAGGTCACAAATAGTTGCATTAGACCCAGTGATAGAAATGGTTTAAGCTGGGATAAATCCGGCATAAAATGAATTCCAAAAATGAAACACACCTGGAATTTGTTGGTAGAGTTGAAAGGAATTTCAGCCACTTTCTTGTTCCGTGCTCTGATATCCATGACATCACCCAAAATTACTTCAGAAAACTTAAGCAGAGCTGTTTCAGAGGCATCTCCCACCACGACTCTCTGCATGCACAAAAGAAGGAACAGTTTATAGCTTTTGTAGTACTTTTGCACTTCTGTGATTCAATAACATGTTTTCTGCTTTAACAGCAACGAATCTACAATGAATCTTCAAGCTGTCCTGGAAAATTATGACAGTAAAAATTTGGAATATCTGGTCTTGCAGTTAGAGCTGAGCTACAGCCAAGAGAAAATCAATGTTTGATTCTGGAAGGCAGATTTGTGAGCACCCTCAGGTTCATGTGGTGGCTTTGTGACACAGTTCTAGGTGACCTAACTGAGGCACGAATCCAAATTACCTTGAGGAAGGCATTGGTGAGTAAACAGCAGAAATCAGGGATATGTTCTGGTCGTGTGGTCACTGGAATTTACTGCCTTCAAGCAGTCAAGTGTAAAGACACTCATTAAGGCATGTTTACCTTTGCTATATTAAATTAATAGTGTAGTAATTATTAGTGTAGAGATTCTTGCTGCTTGTGTTGCCTTTTCCCTCACAGGCACAGCTGTGTTTGGACAGTACTCCCAGGCATGGATTCTTGGGGATATCCTGTGAAGGGCCAGGAGCTGGAATTGTGAATCCCTTCCAGTTCAGGATCCTCTGTGATTCTATGATTCCCTGCTCTTGGCTATGTGGGGTTTTTCCCCTGTGTTAAGTGTTTTGTGAGTGTACAGCAGTGATACCACTGTCAATGGGAACTCAGAGATTCCTAAAGCCGAGCAGAACAAATTGTCCCCTCAGAGGAAGGGAAATAAGCTGGTGTGAAGTGGGCAATACCTTCATTATGGGGAGGTTCTCCTGGCCTGGCCGGAATTCCGCCCGGTTGCAGAGGGTCACGATTTTGGATAACGCTGTCCACGACGGAGAGGTTTGATCAAAGGGCTGGGCTGGGAGAAGCAAAACACACATGGCATCCTTTAGCCCACTGTGGGATCATTGCATCCTACAGCACACTATGGGATAGAGGTAGAAGCTTAAGTGTGAAACAGCAGAATCGGTGTATTTGCAGAAAAAAAAGTTGCTCTTTCGACAGGTTCTTTTAGAGAAAAACATTTTGGCCCAAACTTTTCCAAGGAGTTGCCCCTTCCCACATCCCCCATTGCCACATTTACTTGTTTGGTCTTCACTGGTGTCTGCTGAGTAGATCTGATTGTCAAACCAGAGGTGAGCCACAGTCATCCTGTTCTGGGTGAGGGTCCCTGTCTTGTCAGAGCAGATGACGGAGGTAGAACCCAGAGTTTCCACAGCTTCCAAGTTCTTCACCAAACAGTTCTTCTTGGCCATGCGCTTGGCTGTCAGGGACAGACTCACCTGGCAGGAGCAAAGAAGTCCAGCTGTTAGTGAGGGATGATTAGAGGGGTGTAGTGAGGTTACATACTCCTGGGATTTGTTGTGGGTTTTGGTTTTGGAAGAGAACATTTGAATTTTTTTGCTTTTGATTGACTACAGTGCAGGTTTTTTTCTCTCTTTTTTAAAACCCTAAGGTTTGGCTGTAATCAGCACAAGTGCATTCCATGCTGAGAGGAACCTGCTTGCCTGCTGATAGAAATAAGAATATCTTAGCAGTTAAGAGGCTGTTTTAACTGGAAGAACCTGCAATGGGGGGAGCTCCTGGTCACCAACTTAACGAACCCTGAAATGATTCTCTTCATTGTTGCACTGCTGCTGGTGCTTTAGAGCTACCAGTGCTCAGCAGTGCTGCTCCTCAGCCAGGGATTTCAGTGATGCCACAGATGTGTTAGTAAGTGGAGTTTTCATGCATCTTTTAGGGTACAATGTCCTCCTTTCCAAACGGGAACAGGCTATGGGGAAATGAGTCGTGTCATTCTGCTGGTCAGTGATTGAGGCAGAACGGTCCTTGAAGAACCTCATTTCAGACTGGTTTGTTGGTTTTAGGATTAATGACTCAGTTATGCCGGAATTCCCAAATGAAGTGTTTATCCTTTCAGTTTCATGGGGGGGAAAAAACCAAAACACCCTCTTTCAAAGACAACTCAGACAAGAACTGGAGTGGCACCCGAGCCCGCACTCACCGTCACCGTGGCCAGCAGTCCCTCGGGCACGTTGGCCACGATGATGCCGATGAGGAAGATGATGGAGTCCAGAATCGGGTACCTCATGGAGACAGATATGATGAAGAAGAGCACCCCGACGGAGACGGCCACTCCTGCCACCAGGAAGACGAAGTGCTCGATCTCGATGGCGATGGGGGTTTTCTCGTTGCCCACCCCCGAGGCGAGCGAGGCGATGCGGCCGATGATGGTCCGGTCCCCGGTGTTGATGACAATGCCAGTGGCAGTGCCTGCAGAGACAGGGAGAACTGTCAGCTCCAGGACAGACAGGTTCTTAGAGGCACCTGCAGCTTGACATTCCAAAGGATTATTGATGGAAAACCCACAGGGAAGCCACAATTAATTGATTGTTGCACGCACGACCAGGGTACTGTTCAGACAAAGCCCTGCTGGATGATACTGTGACCATCCTAGTGCTTTAGGTTTTATTTTGTTCTTCTTGGGACAGTAGTTTCTTGTGAGCAATTAAACCCCCCTGGAGTTCCTTGCAGCAGAATTGCTTCAATGATTTAGCAGGACCCTTTCTGGAGGCCCTTGTCTCTGTACCCACCTTCCACACAGGTGGTGGAGTAGAAGGCGATGTTCCTGGTCTCCAAGGGGTTCTCGTGGGTGAAGTCACAGGAGCGGGGCTGTGGCTCTGATTCCCCTGTGAGTGAAGAATTGTCCACCTTTAATGAAATGGAGACATGCCCATGTTAAGGTTAGTAACACACAGTGATGTTTGGCCCAGAAGACAAGGTGGCAACATATTTAATAATCAGTGACAGGACCACAAAAACCTCTCAGTGCCTTTTCTCTGAGTTCTGTTGTCACTGACAGAGACTGTTTCTGTGGGAATTCAGTTTAGTCAATGCCGTGTGTCTGTCAGAGGGATTTTCAGTAGAAGCCTGAAAGAAAATGTGGTTTGAAAACCTTCTTTCCACGTCTGTGGAGGCTCTTAATGATGTATTGGTGTATCTGCCTCTGTCCTGGCAAAGAGCATTGCTAGAATGTGGTACGGACCTAATGGCTTCTTTTGATGTTCAGGGAGTGGAGATGTTAGTCCTAGATGAGCATCACAGCATAGCTTTGCTCTCTGATTTAACCAGATTATATCTATTAGAGCTCTAACAAGTCCTATTGGGTGTGCAGAAATTCTTTTTATGTAATCCAAGCCTCTAAACTCTGTTTCCCCTCTTTCTCTGTGCCCTTCCAAGTCCTGTTCGGTCGTGCAGAAATTCTTTCTGTGTAATCCAAGCCTCTAAACCCTGTTTTCCCCCTTTCCCTGTGCCCTTCCCAGCCCAGCTCACCTTGCAGCCCTGAGCGGAGATGAGGCGAATGTCCGCTGGGATCCTGTCCCCGCCCTTGATCTCCACAATGTCTCCAACCACCAGCTGGTCCGCTGGCAGCTCCTTCTTCTCTGCATCTCTGATGACAAGAGCTTGCTGAAAGACATAAGTGTGACAAAAAAAAAATCACCCTCTGCACCTCCTGCCAAGGGGTGCAGGCAGGTCGGGCTCGTTGTGCTCCTGCCGCTCCGAGGAGCATTGTTGGGGTGAACTCTCATCTCAGGGGTTCTCACCTGGGGGATCATCTTGCTGAAGCTGGCCATGATGTTCGTGCTTTTGGCTTCTTGATAGTAAGCAAAGATTCCAGTGAGGATGACAACCAGGGCCAGGACCACTCCAAGGTAGAGCTAATGAATAAAAGGCATAATCCAGTTAATTCGAGACAAGTGTTCAGCTATTCCTCTGCTGGAATAAACCACAGTTCTCTGCGATTTACTTCAAAAATGAGGTATTGGTCAGTTTAAAAGATAGTTGAAGAAAAGAGTTTTCAAGTGATCTAGTAAAGCTTTTTGATTATAAAAAGGGCTTTTAATAGCAAGGTTCCCATGTCTCTAAAAGCGTTCTCTGAACTGTACCTGACACAAGCCCAAACAAATTATACTTCTAGCAGAGTGTAACTCATAAGGGAATTAATCAAAGACTTTGGAGTTCTTTGTGGACTTCATTATTGCTCTTGTGAGTACTCAAGTATTGCAATTATGCCCAGTGGTTATAAAACCTTTGCATAGTTACTCTCTAGACAGAAGTGGTATGACAGGTATTTGAGGTTTTATCAGAAGTGTTCAGTCGTAGAGGGAGAGTCTTCAAGAGTAAGAGGCCTCCTTGTAGTTACTGAGTAACTGTGTAGTATTTAAATTACTTAGATTGTCACAGGGTCAAATACTCACTTTGTGGTTATTCATCTACTTACATTGTCAAAGGGTGATTCAGCTTTCTGGACAAGCTGGATGGCAAAAGAAATCCAGGAGAAGACAGCTCCTATCCACAGGAGGATGGAAAACCCTCCCACCATCTGCTTGAGGAACTTCACGATTTCGGGAGTGGCTTTGGGAGGAGTGAGGGCATTGGGACCATCCCGAGCCAGAACCTCTGCTGCTCTGGCACTAGAGAGACCCTGCAGAAGGAAATGGCATGTTTAACATGAAGCCACAGAGAAAAACACAACTTATTTTGTCTCAGAACAAAATGCACAGGCTGTTGTTTCTGTGTTATTTGCGTCACAAATCAGCCGCCGTGACCCGCAACCTTGATTCCCAAACTTTCTGATTTCAGAGTGGCTGCTATTAGTTATCTGCTACAAAAAACCCCAGATATTTCTTTACTGGAGCACTGGGGCCATGTCCGATGGGAGTTTTAAATCTGGTGGTTATAAATCAAGTACACCTGGGCTAAGTGTTTGGAAAGCCAGGGAAAAAGGCACATCACTTATTTTGCTGCTGTTTTTGTATTTCCACAAGGTGTTTGTAGCTCAGGGCTTTCTTGAAATTCTTGTCTGTGCTTTGCCCACATTGCAGTGCTTTCATACTCAAATGTCAGGTGTCAAAGGGACTCAGGTGCACAATTTCTCAAACGTAATATTTCCTCCAAAACCAAGTCATCCCATGCAGACTTTTGCTATAAGTTGTTACAGGCACTGCCAGTGAGAAATGAATTGCAGTGAAATCAAAATATCAGATAAAAGCTTTAGAAAAGCTGAGATGTTGGTGCAAACCCCGAGGCCCCGTTTTGTGCAGGGATTTTGGTTCCAAAACAGCCTTTTTCAGACTTGAGGGAAGCTCCACTTCAAATCCAGGTCAGAGCTGCACATGGACTTGCTGGTTTAGGCTTTACTGGGAGCATGGATGTAGGCACCCACACACATCTTTTAATGCTTTCCTACTGCTTCTGGAAGCTTTGGGGAGCCCAGAGGCTTTGGGGAGCCCAGAGGCAGCTGATTCAGGCAGTTCCTTAATGATGCCCCGTGGACTTACTTTGTCGATGCTTGTGCCATACTTCTTCTCCAGGTCCGAGACGCTGAGTTTGTGGTCATCCTGAATTCCAAAAGGGAGAGAAAATGGGAGTGAGCAGAATGTCAGCCCGCTGAAATTTGAATTTTGACATCTGGAGAACGCTCAGGGATCTGGGACCACGGACCCAGTTGCTTGTATAACACCCCACTTTCGTTAATAGACAACCTGCACATTGGTAAGCAAAGCATCTTCCACTGGAAGATGATGTTTTCTTTTGATTTGCAGAGTGCTTTTGTAAATAGCTCCCTCCTCCAGCAAATCTGTCACAAGAACAGGATGGTGTGTTCGTGGTAATCCTGCCTGCCACAAGTGTCTGTGCTTCTTTTAGATAAATAACTCCTCTTTGTGTGTGCTACAAGGCTCAGCACCACAGGCAGTGGCAGAAAACGTGTGACAACAATCTCTGCCCTGGATTGCCAAGGCAGGGGATGTGAAATTATCCACCAGCAAGTGTCACAGAGAGAGGCAACAGGTTTTAACCACAGTTAAAAAGGGTGTGGGAGAGGGAAATCTCAAAGCTCTTCTCCTTTGCCTGCAGTGACACCTCTGTGGTATCGTTGGCCTAATTATATCCTGTGCTGAGCTGAGATTTAGAAGCCAAGAATTTGAGAGATCTCACAGTTGTTTTCACGGGGTGATTCATGGGCATTTGGATGAGTCAATTCACTTGTCTGTGCTTTGGTTTCTCTTTAGAAACAGGAGGGTGATGTTACATCCCCTGGTGGCAAAGATAAAACGGCCTGGGAACTGTTTAGCTGGAACTGGGCACATCACGGGCACATGATGGGTAAATTTATCACAGAATCACAGAACCAGTGGCCCATTTTGGGGTCCTTTCCCTCTGAAATACCATCCAGGCTGTAAAAAGCCTCTCCTCCGAGCCGCTCTCAAAGCAGCTCCAAAAAGAGGTCAGTATAATTACCCTCATCTTTCAGATTGGGAAACTGGAATGTGTGGAGAGGAAGCAACATTTCCAAGAGCAGCCAGCAGCTCTGGAGCGAGCCAGAAGGAAAACACAGGTTTCTTGGGCTTAGTGCACTGTCCTTGGAGCACAGTGCAGTTAGTTTGGGGGAAAAAACCCGGGCTTAAAGCTGAGACATGCTTTTGGATGTGCTGGAAATCTCTGTGCCTTTCCCTGTGTCTCCTGGCTGCCTGTGCAAGAGGCAGTTGTCAGGAAATACTGGTGACAGTTATTCCATCTGGGGAATAACTCCTTTTTTGGGGAGATAATGTTCTGTACCATCGGTGGCTTAATTAAACCAGAATCAATCTTTCATTTTAGGTATTAATCTCGCCCAACACTTTCCTGGCACACTCCAGGGGTGTGAGGAAGCAAATCCTTCCCTGTGTCAGGATTTTCATTCCCTGGATTTCATTGGCAGGTGTAATGGGAGCTCAGCAACACTCACCAGGTCCAGCTCTTTCTTAAGTTCCTCTGTCTTCTTGTTTTTCTTGTTGCCTTTTAAGTCTTTGTGCTTCTCATCTTCATCTTCAATCTCTGTTTTCTGTAGATCTTTTGTCCCGTAGATCTCAACTGAGTAAACATCAGACCTTTTCTGTGGAAGGCCACAAAAACCAAGTCAAACTCTGACAAATCTGCTTTTTGTAGAAAACCTACAAGTTACTGCTGTCCCTCTCTCCTGGAAGCTTAAAGTGTTAATTCCTGTCCTATCCTGGGATCCACCCAGTGTGTGTTACAGTGATCATGGGCAGGACTTCACCAAATGTGAATTACAGAGATTCCTTTAGGGATGTGCAACACTTTTAGCAGTTTATGGTCCAACACCAAGTGTGGAAACACTACCCAGGCTCCCACCACTGCCAGTGAAAACCATCCAGTCCTTTATCAGCTCCAAGAAGAGATCAGTGGAAAAGCAAAAGATTTGCAACAGGAAAGTGGAGGGAAAATTTATTCATTGAGAACTTGCTTGTTCCCGGGGCTTTTTAGACACATAACTTGGAGAGTTAATTTTTTAATTAAAGTTAACATTTACATATTTATATTTACACTCAATCACAAGTGAGAGATGAGGCAAACACCACCTGAGAGCCAGGGAGAAGCCAGTCTGCTTCTTCTCACACAGAGCTCAGAACTAACGGGGAGTTAGCAGAATATTCCCCTATTTTTGCCAGGAAGCTGCTGACCTGGGGATGCTGCTGAACCTCAGATAATGTTTTGCTCTCAGGGATAACTTGGGGGTTGTGCTGTTTCCTAATTTCATTAATAATTTAAGTTAACAGTGTGGTCTGAAGGGCAAACTTCCTGTGCCACTGATTTACCAGCTCCTGTAATCATAACGTTCCAGTTCCTAATTATCTTGTAAACTACGTGCCAGGCCTTGGAAGGACTATTGGGTGACCCCATTCCGGAGGCTTCCTTATGGATTAAGCACCAGAGGGTCAGGAGAATCAAAGCAGAGAGCTCAAGTAATGGAAATAGCAAGGAAAAAAAAATAATAATTGGGGCATCTTAATGTTACTTAATACTGTTCTGAACTCAAAATTGGCATCTTACCCTCAGCTGCCCTTTAACTGTTGGAATATTCAAGTCTTGGCATTGTATCCCGAGGAAGGGAAAAGCAAAGAGCTGGGGAGTAGTTTGGGGATTTAAAAGGCTGAAATCCCTTTCTTAGAGCACTTGAGTTTGGTGATGAATATCCCAGAGAAGGGACATGTCTGTTACAAGAGGTTCTATTTCTTTCTAGCATGCTGAAGATTCACAGTCTGCTTTATCTATTGGGGTTTTTTTTCTTCACCTTCCTCCTTCTCCTCCTCCTCCTCCTCTCTTTAACTATCCCACCCAAAAATCTGTTCAGCTTTTCAAATTCCTATAAAGGAGAGAGACCAGGAGAGAATGAAAACAGCTCTCTACTGTGAGAACTTAGCAGTTGGAAGAGCATAATAAAGAAAATTAATGAAGTTAGTAGAATCTATTGGTCACTTCTATGCATGATCTATGTTTAACCCTTAACCTGCACATTTTCATAAAATCTCAGATTTTGGCACTTGCAGGTGCTCATGAACCTGTGGATTATCAAACCAGCCAGTCCTGGAATTCTCCCCTCTCCAAACTGATCACTCCCAACAGTGTCTGGTATTAATTCAATTTTTCACCTAGCTTGTATTTATAGCATACATTGGCATATTAAATCTTAAATTCATGCCTTTTCTTAAGAAGAAACACGAATGCAGGAGGGGCAATCCCTTGCAACTGTACTCACCTTTACCATCTTGGTGAGTTTATTCCTTTCCTGATGGAGTGAAAAAGTCTCTGGATGAAAAGCCAAAGCCCAGCTGGAGGTGAAGTGGCTCGGAGCAGCTGGAGTGCAGGAGGTGGTAGGTCCCTCTCAGACGGCCAGCAGGTGTTAGCTGGAATCCTGCTCCCACCTTGGCATCCTCCAGGCAGGACGAGCTCCTTGTCCAAAGCCTGTGGAGAAAGAGCACTGTTTGCCAGTGCTTTATAAATCAGCATCTTGTGCTGCCACTCCACCCCTCCCCTTCCAGGTCCAGCCCATCTTCTGTTTCACCTGGAGTAGGTGGAAAAATACCACAGTAATGGGCATGTGGGTTTCAGGTCAGATAGGTTCTAATTATTCCCTCGTAGTGTTTGCTCACAAGTAGGGAACAGGTGTATTATTCATCTTGCTGGAAGCAAAGAGTTTCCTTCCGAGACTTTCCAGCTCCAGGCTGCCCTCAGGATTCCACCTGTCCCGGTGGAGGGGCAAAGGAAGGCTCTGCACATTTTGTCTTGCCTGTTCAGGTGACCCCTAAGGTCCCTCCGAGTCAAATCCCTGCCCCATTTAGGTACTAACAGGGATTTATGGAGTGGTGCTCTCTCAAGCTTCTTGGCTTGGACTTCACTCTTAATTCTTGCCCTGCATTTGTTGTGTTTTTAACCTTCATGCTCAGCTGGAAAAAGCGCTTCCTGGTGCATTTTCAGCAGGAGCACTCACCTGAACAGCTTGTTTACTTTGTTTATCTTGCACCAATTACCAGCTTCCCGACAGGAGTGAGAATGAGATTTATGACACTTTGGATTCCTGGCTTGGCTCATCACTTCGAAGTAAAGTTAAAACAACTTCTTCGCCTCTGAAATTTAACTGATGAAAAACTAAGCGAGATGTGGCGAAAGGTTTTCCACAGTTCAGCGTCATTGGGGGGGAACTGTCTGTCTGACAGAACCAGTCCTGCTGACCAGCACAGCATCTCAGCAGCTGGTCTCTGACGTTATAGGATCCGTAAACTCCAAATTGGATCATTTGAGGTGCCACCAGCAAATGACTCAAACTGTGGTGAGAGACGTGACGTGTTAGCGGAGATAAGTCGGGTTGAATTTATCAAGCCGCAGATAAAAGCTGCTTCGACAGTAGCATGAATAATTTATGTTCAAATCACGGACAGGCTTCCAGGAAACTGGAGTTTCCTACCTCCCTGAGCCGTTTCCACCTCTCAGTTTATGTGTGTTGGTCCTTTTCCATGGCACTCTTGAATCCTGGGACGTTTCGCAAGGCGCGGAAGCGCCGCTGGAAAGGTTTCGTGTTCAGTTTCTGCCTCTCGGTGTGTTGAGAACTGGGTTGTGTCCTGGGGCTGGAATATAAACCTTTTCACAGGTGTGTAAGTGCTGCAGGTTTCACAATGTGTGCAGGAGCAGGGGTAGAATGACTGCCTCCAGTGAATCTGTGTTCCCAGCACTGAGATCCTCCCGTTTGTTCTGGAAAACACACCGGAGCAGGATGATGGAGAGGTACAGTGAGGATATTTGGCTTTGCTGAGGCTGGAAACAGGGGGGACATGAGAAAGGAAATGGACTTGGAAGTAGGGAAATGCCTTCCAGGAATGGGGTTGCACGACATCAGATCTATGGGTAAAACCAGTGGGCTGCAAAATACAGGGCAAACTTCACTCTGTCCATACACAGGTTTTAACTGGGAACTGAGATTTCTAGTCCAGTGGTGGGTGGAAAACAAGAATGTGTATCCTACTATTCATGGAATCTATAAATAGTAGGGGGATTCCTACTGCCCCTGCACTTTTTAGTAATGGTTTGTGATTCAGGAAGTTATCTGGGTCATTTGGGCAGCTTTTGTGTTCATCTTCTATAAATCCTGCTGACTTTTGCCCGGGGACGGATGTTAGAAATGCAAATTGGAAGATTTTTGGCAACAAAATGCCTCATAACCCTGCTCTGCGTGGAATATTTGCACTGCCACATCTGTCTGCTGAAGGATGTGTTTTATAGCAGAGGAATTGGACTGGGAAATCACTATAGATGGTACTTCAGCTTAGAATTTACAGAGTATTCAGCTGGGTTTGCTGCTGACAAATGATGTGTGTTGAGCTGCCAAGTTCAAAGGGCAGATTTGGTGGTTAAAAAGCTCTGTGCCCAAAATGTCATTAATTTTGTCCACTGAAGGGCTTGTTTTTCTGTGAGATGAGAAGGATGAGAAGCACTGTAAAAAGACCAATCTCCTGTTCTCTGTGAACAAACAAACCAGGGTTGGATCATCCTTGTTACCAGGAGTCACTTGCCACTGATCACCTTGTGTTTTGTCACTTGGCCCTGATGGAAAGTCTCAGAAACAGAACCCAGGTGTGAATTCAGGCTGCAGTTCTGGACAAGGGTTTGTGCACCACCAAATCCTGCCAGGGAAGTGCTTGTGCCTTGCTTTGGCAAGACATGGCTTGTGTGGAGAGGAATATCCCTGGGCCTGTGCCAGAGGGCTGCAACCATCACGTGTGTCTCTGGTGTGTCACAACAGCCCCAGCTGGGCCCTGCTTAGGAGGTAAAATGAATTAGGATTTCTAAATATCAGTCTTGAAGTAGCTAAATATTTCTAAACATCAGTCCAGAAAAAGGATGTGTCCCTTCTCAATTATTGTGTCTCATGTTTCTTCCCCAGAATCTCAATGTGCTTTGGTCATATTCTAAGTTCTTCTGTCTACGTGCAAGCTCAGGAAAAAAGGCAGCCAGGAGAATGCTTTGCTGTTATTTAACACAGGGACACCACGTTTCTTGTGTGTGAAGGCTGCAGGTTGCTGATCCCAGCGCTCAGATTGTCAGATACCCTCAGGCTTTGAAGTAAAAGTGTAAATCTTTGTAAAGGGTTTTGGAGCGAGAAGGAGATGCTGTTGCCTGATGAATTTGCTTTGCTATTTATGTGCCTCCTGTCCTGTATGGAGCAGAACGAGCTCAGCCGTGGCAGAAGGGAGCTTGGGAAGCCCTAAAGCCGCAGAGGGGGTGGTAAATGGACACTTAAAATTGCTTAAATTTGCTTAAAATTGCTTAAATTTGCCTTTCCCGGCGCTGTGCGCGTGGGCTGCAGTTGCGGGCGGTGCCGGCAGAGGGCGCACGGGGCCCTGTGCTCAGCCATTCCCTCCCCAATTCCCGGCTTTTAAACCTGAAAAATTCCTTAAATTCTGCGAGAATTGAGTGTGTGTCTGCCTTGGTGTCCCTGCACAAGCCTGTCACCTCCCCTGGTCCACAAGGAGGACATGGGCCTGGGCACCAAGTTGATCAGAGGGATGGAACCTCTGTCACATGGGGAAAGTCTGGGAGAACTGGGATTGTTCAGCCTGGAGAAGAGAAGCTTTGGGGTGGCCTAATTGTGCCCTTCCAGTGCCTGCAGGGAGCCTGCAAGAAAGAGGGGGAGAGACTATTTACAAGGGCCTGGAGTGACAGGACACAGGGAATGGGTTCAGACTGCCAGAGGGCAGGGTTAGATGGGATATTGGGAAGGAATTCTTCGCTGCCCCATCCCTGGAAGTGTCCAAGGCCAGGTTGGATGGGGCTTGGAGCAACCTGGGCTAGTGGGAGGTGTCCCTGCCCACGGCAGGGGGTGGATGAGCTTTAAGGTCCCTCCCAACCCAAACCGTTCTGGGATTCTGAGACTCTGTAGAAAAATGGGGGGGTTTTGTTTGGGGTTTGGGTTTTTTCCTTCTTCAAGGCCAAGGGTAAAACAGAACCTGAACTTCAGGTGAGGGTTTTGCAGTGCTGAAATCACCTTTGAAAGGTGGGATGGGGCTGCAGGTGAGCTGGGCACACACTGGCACATGGGATCTGTGTGATTTCCTAGTCCTTTATACACCCTTTAAAGGCAGGCTTTGCTCCTGTCTCCAGGATCAGGCAAGTCAGAGGGGCTGGGAATGTGTTCTGGGTTCATCCATTGAGAAGTTTGTATTCTGGGAATGTGTTCTGGGTTCATCCATTGAGAAGTTTGTATTCTGGGAATGTGTTCTGGGTCCATCCATTGAGAATTCTGGAGGATTTCTTGTTTTCTTACTCAGCAAGAGGAGGAAATCCCCTTTCAGCAGAAGGAAAAGATGGTGCTACATCTTATCTTTTCCCCCTCCTTAGTTTAAACTGTGATTCACAGGCCACAAGTGATGAACCAAGCACCTCTATAAAGCTCTCAGGGGCCAAATTAAAACAGCTTAAGTGGTATTTGGACACTGGTAATTTAGGTATTGGTTGTAAACCACTCCTTGTCTGAGCATTCACCTCCTGGGATCAGGGAATGGCACGTTCTGTTCTATGTGGGGCTGGGCAGAGTCCATGGAAAACTGAATTTCTGTGCTTTTTTTTTTCCTTCCAGTTTTCCTTTCTTGTTAACCAAAGATGAGCAGGGAATGCTGAGGAGCAATGGGCTTCACTCCCAGGTTTTAGGATGGCATTCTGAGTGATGAACAGCATTATAAATGCCATGCTGACCCGATGTCCCTGCAGACCTGGCACAGCCACCACAGCTGTGGGTTGTTTCAGGGCAAGTTTCTGATTTTACAAAAGGATTTGGGCTTCCCTTGGCCTTTTGAAGCTGATACACTGCTGAGGTGAGTTTTGTGTAGCCACAAAGAGATAACATGGACTAAAACATATAATTTCATATATGTATTTCAATATATCCTTTATTTCTTCACATCATTTGAAGAACAGCTGTCTCTGAGGAGGAAAACAAGCCACAAGCAAGTCACAGCTTCCAGAACTATCTCACTCTTCTGAATATTTTATTTTACTGCTTCCTAGTGCTGCTAATATGAACCATTCCTGAGTCTATAGTGGTGTAAAAACAGTAAGGAAAATTAATCTTCCTCTCAGCAACTTCCTGGGGCTTTGCAAAGGTACCAGTCATGGACTGGAAGTTGGTGCAGAAACACAGAGTAACTTTCTTCTTTAAACATGGTTATATTGCCAACATTTCATTTGCAACCATAAATGATTTATGGGGGGTTGTAAATTCTAGTCTTCCCTTCAAACAGCTGCTGTCTTGATGCCTTGATCATTCTGAGGAAAAAAAAAAGATGTTTTTCCTTTTAAAATATTATGTGATGTGCTGGTTTGGTGCAGCAGGAACTTGCAGAGCCAACCTGTGGTTTGCAGTCAGGATCTGCTCCTCTGGAACACACCCAAGCTCCTTCCTGACATCCCAGCCT